TAGTACCACGTTTGACCCCTTTTGCATTCAGAACTGCCTTCATGGCATTGACAAGATAGCATCATGTCAGTTGCTGCAGATTTGTCAGCTGCACATCTATGATCTGCATCTCCTGTTCCACCACATCCCAAAGGAGCCCTGGAGGCCTTTTTGATACAGTGCGTGCTGGACATGTTCAGCAACAATATTCAGGCTGCCTGTGGCATTTAAATGATGCTCAGCTGGTAATAGGGATCCCAACGTTTGCACCACAAGCAGCAGCATGATGATACCAGGATGAATCAATGTTTTCCTGTTGTTTATGACAAATTCTGACCCTACTATCCAAATGTCAAAGCGGAAAAAGTCATCAGACCAGACATTTTTCCAACCTTCTGTTGCCCATTTTTTTCTTTTATTTATTTTCAATTTTCTTAACAATCAAAACACAAAATAGCATACACTGGACATGGTTACATCTGTGCAATCAGTAAGGAGAAATACAAAGACAGAAAAGTACCCAAGTACTAAGAACAAAATAAATAAGGGGTTGTGTGTAAGACGCACAAAAGAGAAAGGGCAACTGTCCGTTAGGTTCTGTCCTTTGTTTTCTCTGCAACCTCAATCCACAAACTCTGAGTTCCTCTCATGTAATTGGCTGATGAGATATTTGTGATGAGCAGTTGGACAGGTGTACCTAATGAAGTGATCCGTGTTCGTGTATCCTTTGTTACTTTTTGGTATTTTTCTTTTTCTATTATTGTTTGTTTTTTGGTCATCAAGCACTCGCACAAAAGTACGGTGGACAGAAACCGCAAAACCCCAAAAGTTATAAACAACATTTTTATAAACTATGTATTTTATAAACTAAATATAAACTATGACTTTTATGTGGTGAACCACAAAAATACATTCGATTCTACATGTGAAGTGCAAACAGATACAAAGACATAAACACTGAATCTCACCTTACATTCACCAGGTCAGTTGGGGTCCCAATGAAACCACCTGTAAAACCTGATGAAGGAAAAACAACATCTTTAAATGCAATTTTAAGTATAAAATGAAACAACATCTTTAAATAAAATGTAAGCTATTTTGCACCATTTACCTGCAAAGGCACCCAGGAGGACTTTCTGGTGGAAAGGCATAGGACCTTTATTTTTTCTCTTCATCTTATCCCTGACGGTCTCGTAAATCGCAAATCGTGACAAAGAATATGTCATCTGGACAAATGAATAAATAAAAACAGCTATGTCAAAGAGAGGAAGAGTGTGCGGCTGATAAAGGTTTTATGGAAATGAGTGTTGTTTTTGACCTGCCGGCAGAGGGAAGCAGTGAGCCCGCTGTAGAGAGCCAGAAAACCCTCTCTTCTCACTACGTTAAGAGTCATCCCAATCATCCTCATCCTCACTTCCTGCTGTGTTTGCAAGTGGACCTGGAAGCAACCATAAGGAAGCAGCACTAAGAGTCAGTGGCACTTTTAGTGAGAATTGGCCTTAGATATATGTAAAGTTCCTGTCTTTAAAACCGTTAATATCTAGTCTGAAAATATATCTCACGCTCTAATATTACCAGCACCATTCAGTCCGCATCCTAAATTAAAGAAAACCAATGCAATAAGTGGATAATAGCTGCAAGAAATAAAAAACTGTGCCACTAAACATACACTACAAATGTTACTATCATTTAAAGCACCTTAAGGAATCAAAGCAAGCCTAATGATTGCCAATATAAAGGCAATTTGGCTGCATAATAGTCTCATCAGCCAAGTGAAATTCTAAGAAACTGCTAAAATGAATATTGCTACAACACATTATTCCAAATTGTATCATCAGCAGGTAAATAGAAAACCAAAATAGCCAAAATAGACACATCAGTGAGGCCTATCTGGATCTATTTTGTCTCTGCCGAATGGAAGGATTGTGCTCTGGGGTTAATTCAAATTCGATAAGCTCTATAATTTACCTTTATCAAATCCAGTGGATGGGTTACACAGGCTGCTGCACTGGACGAGACCCCACCAAAATACCAACGAGAGACACGGTTCTCCTGCATGCTGTCAGTGAGGCAAACTCTAGAGGGGGAAAAAACCAAAGGGTCGACTTCTCAGAGGCTCAAAGGACAACTTTGCCCGAGGGTGCTCCTTTCATCGTTTTTCCCCTCAGCACTTCTGGTGATGCGTGGCCACAATTCATCTTAAAAGTCGACGGGAGTCATCTCAATGTAAATCTGTATTTTTGTTTCTTTTGAAGCAGTGGACAGACAAATATAATGAGTGTCCCTCTGTACTTACTCCATGTTTGTGTGCCAAGAAGAAGAGGGGTGCAGCTGGTTCATGGGAGAAAGTGTACGTGACCAATATAAAAATAGTAAGCGGGCTTGACCGCTGCTGTAGTTTTGAAATTGTGGCCGACACACTGACATGGAGCAAAGGTCTCGAAGTTTAAACAAATATTTGTCAAGGATAGATTTGTCTAATTATAGCATTCAGACTTCAGGTCATACGCACAAAAGGTTACAAGGTTACAACATTTTGAACAATGGGTCAGTGATGCACAGCAACATTATTATTTTCATACTTTTCTGAAAGTTTCTACAGCTAATGCAACCGTCTGGGTCGTTGAACATGACATGATTTTAAATGAGTCCTATGAATGACCAGCCTGGCACAGCAGCACTTGGGCTGACTCAGAGGGGGGGCACTCATGACAGATGATACAAACAGCAACTGGATACCCACTCCAAGTTGGAGCAAAGGTAAGATGTGAGCAGACACAGGCAGGAATGGGTAATGACAGCTAGCAATAGTCAGAACTGAGATTTAGGTTTCTGTCTAATGCTTTAACATGAGTTGTTGTTGCTGGGCCTCTTTTAGGGAGCTGTTTGATCAGATTGGGGGTGGTTGCAATTTGGCCTACCGTCTGTGAAATAAATGAGATGGGCAAAACGATAACTGCAAGGTCCAGAATAAAAATGAAGTTGAATGAACAACAGGCTTGCTTAACCTTCATGTTGATAGGATTTATTGCAGGCCTGCTCCATTATTTTCTGCTGGCTGTAGCTACACCGGTTGAGATTGCAATCAAGTCAGACTGCAGACATTAATCTACTGCACATGAATCCAAATCTTTAAGGGTACACTGAGATTAAATAACAAGAACCAACTAGGAGTTAGGTCTATATGGATGTTATATTGCATTGATGCTGGATGTTTGCAGTTGGTGGACCGTAGGCTGACATCAGTCACTTGAAGTGTAGGAGAGTGATATGCTGCTGCCCTCTGCTTTATGCTAAATTGCTGCATTAAATTGCATACAGCTGGATTTTGTTTTTATCATAAAGTGAGTTAAAATGAAACCTGCGACTGATTTGATGTGGTGACTTCCTTCAGCAGTCCAGGCCAGGCTTGCAATGCTATGACCCAGCCAGAAGCCATCATCACTAACACAGCAAAGTATCATTTTCATTCTCCAGGACAATTTTCTACGACTCTCATCAGGACTAAAGGGTTTTTCCCTCCTCACTGTAGGAAAACTGGATGACAAGCCATTTCTTTTACATGTTCTTCACAGAGTTTTTAATCACTTATGTTGCGTTGCTCTTTCTCATGTTTCATCTGTACACATCTGTCTTCATTCTTCCTGCTCTCCATCTGTGCTTTGCATTTGTTCTTGTGACAGATGTAAAAACAGACTGTATTCTCTCTAAGATTTAGATGTGTCACGATAGATTAAGTCCGAGTGTTGACATAAAAACTAAACATGTTAAATTATCAAAGCACTAAAATTTACATTTAGGTTTAACCTTAAAAAAAACTAAAAGCA